CTGGCCTGGGGACATTTAGCCGCATTGCCTGTGCAACGAAGCATGCCTTAATGTAGGATTTAGCCTAGTTGTGCACCATGTTTGGCCAAACAACGCTTGAGTAAGTAAGTGATGACTTCCTAAATTGATCACGAATTCCTTTTCTTTTTCTTTTTACTAGCTACTCTACCTTACTCTAGCTGATTTTTTCATCCTTAAGGGACTTATTCAAAGACACTTCTTTTTCTTTTCTTTAAGACCTTGAAAGAATAGTTTCATTGAATGTCATTTAGAATTAATCCTTGATTATGTTACTGATTTGGGAAAGGAATGTTTTTAAACACGGAGCAATCTAAGTGATTTAACAAGTTTTGCTTGAATAAGTCTTCTAATTGAATGTTTAAATAAATTTCTCTTAAGTTAATGGTTGGGCTATTCTTGTTAGAAATTTAAGGAAGATTCTGTGTCAAGTTAAGGCAATATTAAGTTTTGACAGGGTCATACACCTCCAGCAAGTTCAGTTTTGAGAAGTAAAAGTATAAGAGAATGTTTGTTTTATTTACTTTGCATGAGGGCGTGCAAGAAGCTAAGTGTGGGGGTATAAATTTTAAGCTCCCAGAACCTTATTTGTTCAAAATCTCCATTTAGTGGAGAAAAAGGTTGATTTTAAAAACTGTCAGTAAATCTATTTATTTTTTTTAGTAAAAAGTTGGCCAAGGAAAAAAAAATGTAGGGACTCATAACAAACTGATTACAAACAAGACACAAATGCACCTAGGGATTGACTTAGACTTTTAAAAAAACTGACTTATTAAGCTATAATAACCAGCATAATAAAAAAGACTTTTTTTTAAGTGTTTTTTCTGTTTTTAAACAATAAGCAAACCAATTCTCATAAAAAAAATTCTTTCCCCGGCAACGACGCCAAAATTTGTTAGGCGTGTCGTAGCACCTACAAATTAATTTATTCTTTTCCTTTATGGTATGTTTGGGAACATGGATTTGGATTTCAAATCCGGATTTGGCTCAAATTCCATGTTTGGGAAACTTAAAAATTTTGAATTTGGATTTGAGTCAAATTCTTCTCATTCATAACAAAGCTTAATTTGAAATTTATGCACCACCCCTTGTCATTTGAAATTCAAGATTTCAAATTTTGGAATTGAAATGCATGAATTGAAATGAAACGCTACCTTACTTAATTCCTTCTTGTAAAAATAATATTTATTAAATCTATAGATAGGATAAGTAAGAGTCGATCCCACGAAGAAAGATATTTTTTAAGCTATGAAAATCGATTTACTTTGTCACTTTTTATCAAGTGAAAACGACTATCTAAAATCTATAAACCAAATTAAAAGATGGGGGGGTTTGAAAGTTGTTTTCTAAATAGATTAAAAAACTAACTAAAGTGACACACCACACCAGAACAAATCTCAAAACAAACCAAGGATAAAAACAGAACATAACTCCACCAAAAAGCCCAAACGAAGAAGACAAGCACACATGACACAATAATTTGGAGACTTAAACAATTTTAGAAAATCAACAAAATGTTTTATAATATAGAAAATAAATATCCAGGATCAAAACTTTGTTAAAAACTAGCATAATCATCAACCAACTATAAATTAAAACAAGGGTTAGGCTGAAGAAGAGGTCCACCAACGGCTCTTCCCTATTTTCCCATTCATAAAAGCTCATGTTAGGACCAACCCTAACTCTAAACCCTACTACCCTTAGCACCCCAAAGACCAACCCTTAGATTACTATTAAGAATAGTGCATTAAGATTTGTGGAAAACATCACCGTAACAATCTTGCAGTAACACGATGGTTATTTAACAAAATCAGTTTGAGAACCTTGATTAGCAAAAACCACTTAACGAGGCAGCCTAGGTTAATCAAGTGACACTTGGTTTCTAGAAAAGTTCGGCTATTTAAAGCACTTTGGACTTTAAAAGAATATCATTTTAAATTGGATTAGGTCGCGATCCTAATTTGACCCAACTTAAGTAAAATCAATTGAAAAGTAGTTCTCAAACACCTTTGAAATAACTTAAAAGTAGCAAAANGGTTATTTAACAAAATCAGTTTGAGAACCTTGATTAGCAAAAACCACTTAACGAGGCAGCCTAGGTTAATCAAGTGACACTTGGTTTCTAGAAAAGTTCGGCTATTTAAAGCACTTTGGACTTTAAAAGAATATCATTTTAAATTGGATTAGGTCGCGATCCTAATTTGACCCAACTTAAGTAAAATCAATTGAAAAGTAGTTCTCAAACACCTTTGAAATAACTTAAAAGTAGCAAAAGCTTGAATTATTTTAAGAGTATTAAACTTGAAGTAAATGTTTAAACCCATAGACAGATTTAATTTTAAACAACAAGATTCAATACCTCCTCCAAAAATTCTAGTTTCATATGTGTTTTTTTAACAAAATTAGCCCTTGAATACCACAAGAATAAGGGATACTTTCAAAAAGTATGCTTCTCGATAAAACACCAGATTTGTTGACTTTGCAGACTCAATTTTTGAAGTCATTGTTTAGTTTTTAAGGAATGTAAAGTGCTGGTTCACTTTACTGCACAAAGTATTAAGTAGCAGCACTAAATGGAGTAAAAGAACTCAAGCAAGTGACAATACGATTATATCCCTTACCAAACAAACTTTGGTTTCAACATAAAAATTGATGAAAGTATGAAATTCTTGGCGGAAATCAAAAAGCCATACTCTAATTGTACTCAAGATTCTCAACAAATAAAAACCAATTCTGATTTAAAACAAACTTGAGAACTGAAGCAACATGCTCAACAAAAAAATGTAAAAAAAACAAGAAAATTTGGAAGAAGAAGGAAACGAAGGGAACGAAGGGGGTTTTGGGTTCAAGACCCGAACCCCCCTAGGTTTCATACCCTTGAATTGAAGCTCTAATTCTTGTTCTTGATGGTGGTGGAGAAGTTCTTCGCAGCGCCTCCCTCGATTTATAGGTGCGAGAATCGCTTCTTCCGTCTAGGGTTAGGACTTCCTTGTGCGTTGCAATTCTTGATGCGGATTCTCCGGCTCCAGCTATGCTTGAAGAGGCCGACCCAATGTAGGAGAGGGAGTCTTCGGCTCTTCTATCTCACACGACTCTCTTTTTCTCCTTTTTACGCAGCTTCTCTCGTGTATTGGAGGTGGACCTTTGGGCTTTGTCATCTTGGGCCCGGATTGCTTTCACATTTTCAGCCCGCACTTCATGCTCCAAAGATATATCTAATAACTTTTGTCAAGAAGAATTTGGATCCACAACAATAATATTCAAAAATAAACTGAAAAGTGTGCATTATTAACATATTTCATAAACGATGCCTAAAATGCAAATATGATCATTTAAGTGTAAAAATGCACTTTTTAATGCCCGAAAATACTGATTTTATAGAGAGTAATTAGTGAATATTTTGGACTCAACACCAAGGTGTCCGACCGGCACGGACCTAATATTTTAGGGGGCCCAATTTTTTAAAAATATATATGTATATTTATATGTTTTTTAAATAACGTAATATTAAAGGTCCAATTTATATATCTCATCCCAAGCCCCTTGATATTTGGAGATTCTTCGGGAATGCCTCTGTTTTGAATAAATGTATTTACTCCGTACCAGGATCAGACTCACGTTGAGTCATACGAGAATATATATATATATATATATATATATATATATATATATATATAAAATATAACAATTAATAAAAAAAGACTTTAAAGGGTTAAACCCGTCGGGTCAAACCCGAAGCAACCCATTTCGACCCAAAAAATTAACAGGTCTTCGGGTTTGAGTTATTTTTGGTTCGGATCAAAATATTTATGTTCAAAACCTGCTTTTTTCGGGTCAGATTTCTTGGAATGAAAACTCACTTAGTCCAGTAAAGAGGATGATCAGATTCTTACTACGGAGTTTCAGGCTTTATAGGATAAGTGTGTAGTCTTTACTCCGCAGTGTATGCTAAGCACACAGAAGAAGACAGGAGGTTGTTATGCTCTAATTTGAGTGACATTTTGACCAAACAATCACAGGTGGGTTGTTGGAGGAGACTTCAACAGTGTGCTTAAGCTGGAAGACCATAAAGGCTTGTCTACTCCCTGTCTTAGAAGCATGAAGGACTTCCGAGATGCTATTGATGCTTGCTCCCATACAACCATGGAACCTAAATCTGGAGGTGGTTGTTACACCTAGTCTGGAATAAGGAGTAAGGCCTAACAGGCACTTGTATCTTCTTGATATTTTTTCATATCTTTCATATCTTTCATATTTTTTCATATCTTTCATATATTGGTTCCTGACTAATATAGTAATATACTTGCAGCAAGTGGTTGGACCTGAAAGATATGAAAAAATATCAAGAAGATACAAGTGCTGAGAGTTCCAGTAAATATGATGTCAATGACGTCTTGAGAACTCTAGATCCTACGTCATGTGAGTCAGTGCTCGAAGCTTCTCATTCTAAATCTGTGTCCAAATTGACAGCTTTATCAAAATCATCAACTGCTGAGGAGGCTGAAACAAAATGTCTGCCTACTCCGTCTAAATTAATGCCTGAATCTATGCTTGAATCTTCACTTTCAAGGGCCTCAATTGATTTTAGTACAGGGGCAATGGGCATTGAGTCTGAGTCAACCCCCTACGATTCTAGGGGCATTGAGGCTTTGGAACCAACCCCCTTCGATTCCTTCCAACTACCAAACTCTGAGGTGATGGAAATGCACCATGTTTCTGAGCAAAAACTGGCAGGAAAGGTTAATATTGAGCATTATTTTTATCGTACACTCTCCTCGTGGCTTCGTGAAAACTACGAGAAGAGTAAAAAGTGGACAAATGAATCATGGAACACTGAAGCCTCGAAAGTTAGGAACAAGATGCATGATGTTCCTGATTTCAATGCTGCAAGGCCGACAAGGGAATGCAGAGCTGTTATCCAAGCGATAATGAAGTCAGTTTTTGATTATCACGACTCTGTAGGGTGTCATGGAAATGTGTTGTGCACTGACTCTTATTTGCTGACCATAAAGGAGGGGTTCTTCTACGGTGCTGCAACTTTGGATTGCAGAGCCCATCCTTTTGCCTCATAAAGAGATGAATAGTGAAATCGACTTAGCCATTGATTTTTGGCATCTTGCAGATTTGATAAGAAATATCCTTGGTTTTCGTCATGACGAGTTACCAAGAATTTGGAGAAGTCTGTTAAATGATATTCAAAGATTCCCAACTAAGAGTTCATATCCTAGAAATAAATTGTGCAACCATCCAGCTCTATGGGACTGGCAATTTAGGGCTGGATTTTATGGTTTTGCTTGGAGAACTCTACAGGAACACAGTTTTGAAGGCCAAAACATATTGAAAGGTCTCAGATGTTATAGTAATTGGCCTGCTGAGATACTTGAGAAATCTTCATATACACATTTATGAAGGGAGAAGCAGTAGTGATTTGGGATACATGTACTTTTCGGTCAGGTGAGAATGTTAAGGATGACTTGCTGACACTTGAAAACCAGAGTGCGGAGTACATTGAGATGACAACCTGCGAAATGTTTTATCCATTTATTCTACAACTGCACAGGCTTATCCCATAGTGTTAGTTGGGCTTTTCTTTTCTTTGTTGTTAGGTTGTAATCTTGTACTCGCTCGTTCGAGCTTATTAATGGGAATGTCTTCTTTCTGATGCTCTTTTTTAGTTAGTCAAGTTCTCTTGATTGTACGATCTCATACCTTTATGGATTGAATTTCATATGATATGCCCAAAATAATACTCCCAAATAATCTCGTGATGTTTCTGGTGTGAGTATTTATAAATATTACCAAGTCATCTGCAAAGGCAAGATGGCTGCTAATTTGACTTTTGTCTGACTTTTAGTGAATCCTTCACTGCCCAAAATAAACAGCAAAGGAGATAATGGGTCCCCTTGCCTAACACCTCTTCACTGCCCAGCTGAATGACCATTGATGAGAATGGGGGAGATCTTTGTAGCCTAAAGGTTGGCGCCATAAGGGGTGTAGATACAGAATTGTTGAAGCCCATCTGTTCGAAAAAGTGAGATAGGTCTGAAGTCCTTCCCGCTGTTTGTAGCATTATCTGTTTTAGGTATTAGAGTGATAAGAATACTACCCCATCAGTTGGGTTAGTTTAATAAGCCATATGGGCTTCCCAAGCTATCTCCTCTGCCTCCCTCACCTTACTAAAAATGTTTCCAAAAGTGACTGCTAGGCCTTACTCCTTATTCCAGACTAGGTGTAACAACCACCTCCAGATTTAGGTTCCATGGTTGTATGGGAGCAAGCATCAATAGCATCTCGGAAGTCCTTCATGCTTCTAAGACAGGGAGTAGACAAGCCTTTATGGTCTTCCAGCTTAAGCACACTGTTGAAGTCTCCTCCAACAAAATTTGAACATACTTTGTTTGAACTCTAGATTATTTGTTATTTTGATAATTATGTGTTGGGTTGTTCATTGGAGGTATGATGATGCTTACACATTCTTGCTATGCCCAAGTTTTTTTATTTTTGATAATGTTCTTTGTCTTGGTAAAGGTATTGATCCTCGTAGGACAAAATTCTCCAAACTTTTCAATGTTGTAAATCGGTATTTCAACTCGTTGGGCCGACCCGAACCCGTTAGCCGTGGGTCATGAACAAGCATTCATCAACCCGAACCCGAATTGACCCGAACAAACCCGAATCCAACTTGACTGATCGTTTTGCCAGATCTAAAGCATTTTCGCCCTTTGGGATGACCCTTTCCAAAGGAACTTATTGTGTGAGATTGAAAATATCAACCACATGCATCACAACTTCTCCCCCAAAAGCTTTGGGTAACTTGGCATGAGAAAGCACACATCGAAATCGTTCTTCAATAGTTCGATTCATTCTCTCTGCTAGCCCATTCAATTGTGATATCTTCGGTGGATTCTTCTCCAATCGAATGCCACTTTTCTTGCAATAGGCGTTAAAAGGACCTCTATACTCTCCTCCACTGTCAGAACATATACACTTGATTTTCTGTTCAGTCTCACATTTTACTAGTGTGTGGAATTCCTTGAGTGCATCAAGTACTTGATCCTTTGTTTTTAGTATATATAACCATAGCTTTCTTGAATGGTCATCAATGAAGATGAAAAAGTGTAATGCACCACATCAGTGTGTACAAGGTCAAAGATGTTCTTTCTCCTTGTAGGTGGAGAAGATCTATGGAAAGAAAATCTGTTTAGTTTTCCAACTCTAGAAGATATGTTTTCAAGCGAGCGTGTGAAGACCCTTCTCACTAATATGTCCAAGCCATTTATGCCATATCTGATATCTTCATATCATCAATGGTAATATTTATCTCATCTCTATTCACGAAAATAGAGATCAAGACACTCAAACTCTGTTCCATTGTCACTTCGTAATTTTGAGCTTAGCATCAAACTGACGAGCAATCATAGCTCAATATTGACAAGAAATAGTTGGAACCTTAGACTTTTATGTAGCACATAGACCTAAGTTCCTCGAGAAAAATCATCAACTATTGTAAGAAAAAACTTAAAACCATATAAGGGCCTCATATATTAATATGAATAAGCTCAAATAAATGAGTAGTCTTATTTTTTCTTAATGGAAAACTAGCACGCGAGTGTTTGGCACGCAAACAAATAGAACAAGGTTATTTATTTAAAATACAAGCTTTGCTATCGGTAGCTAGTGGTAATAAAAACAAAACTTTAGAGGATGGATGGCCAAGACGTCGGTTCCAAAGGTCGAACGAACACTCCTTTATTGCTGAAAATGCACTACCAGTTTGTGAGTGCTGAAAATAATACTCCCTCCGTCCTAAAATTAACTTCCCATTTGACTTTTTACGGTCTCCAATGCGACACTTTGACCATTAATATCTCCATTTTTATATGAATATATATTGTCAAAATAATATATTTCAAAAGTATGTTTCAAAATGAATCTATTGATACTAAATTTATATGAAAATTCAATATATTTTTTCCGTAATATGCAGTCAAAGTTTAAAAACTTTGACTGCAAAAGTCAAAATGAGAAATTAATTTTAGGACGGAGGGAGTATAAACCATCGTTTCACCATCCGGCACCAATTACCTGCATCGTGGCACGATCCTGTAACACACATAAAGCCCCATTGAATTTTACCAGACAGTTAGTCTTTATTATTAACTGGGAGATAAAGATCAATGCACAACTCAAATTAGGCACAAATAAGATGTTATTTAGTATCACAAAATCATTCAATCGTACTCGCCCGGCAGTGGTAGTCGCAACCCATTTTCCATCTGGTAAGTAAATCCAACAACTCAGAATACTATGTGTATCAAATAGGCTACCCAACTCCCCTGTCATATGATTTGTAGCCCCAGTATCAATGATCCATGTTTTAGTTAGAGGAATACCTGACAACTTCTCTGTTGACCCATCTTTAACTGAAGCTAACAATGCTCAGAATGTGTCCCGTTGATTTGTCGTAAGAGAGGAAGTTGTAATGGGTGAGACAGGTCCTGCCCGGCGCTGTTGGACTATGATGTAGCCGCTGCATGAGCAGCGTATGGTGCCACTGGACCATGACCACCGTTGAATCCACGCCCACGCCCACGCACTCCCCCACATCCGCGCGTCCCCCACCCCTCTAGATAACCATGCAACTGAAAGCATGTATCCCTCTCATGTCCAACCTTTTTGCAATAACCACAGGTCACACTTTTATCACGAGGGGTATCAACAAAGGGAGCACGTGCAACAAACGCTTTGTTTTCAGGACATTCCCGAACCAAGGCTACCCCAGTAGTCTCCTCTTGCGTGAGTACGCTATATACACACGCAGTACTTGGGAAAGGCTCCTGCGAGAGAAGTTTTGAGCGTAGGTGTCCAAAAAGAGCCTCGTCAAGGCCCATCAAAAATTGATGAACCTTTTCCTCATCTCTTCGTTTCTCCAATTGTTGTGCAATGTTACACGTGCACTTTACACACGTGCACATGGGGAAAGGGTCGATGTCATTAAGATCATCCCATAGTTTCTTCAATTTGCCATAGTAAGTGGCAATGCTCAACCCATGTTGATCGCAAGTCGTCAATTCTCTTTTAATTTGTTGAATTTGGGGTCCGTTCACCATTGAATTCGAGCCTTGATTTCGTCCCATAATTCACTAGCCATCTCCATGTGAGAGATCGTCGTACGGAGTGACGATTCAATTGTATTTCGTATCAATGAGATGATCAAGGAATTATTCGTCCATCAATCTTCAAGATCCCCGGAATCTGTTGGTGGTTGCGGAATCAAGCCACCCACAAAACCAAACTTTTTGCACGCGCCCACTCTTAATAATTTTCACCTCGCAAAACGACCTGGATAATGATCAAACCCGGATTGTCATTTGCATGGAGATCGTACGGAGAAATTGTACGACGTTGTGGAACATCTTCAGCGTTCTTCGTTGACGCCGACTGATCATTGGTTGTGATGATCGGTCCCTGCGATTCCTCAGCAAAAGGGAGCACCGATTGGAAAAAAATTGAGAACCTTACGGCTCTGATACCATGTTATTCTTTGGAAACTAATGAGGGAATTATTGTGTATTTCTTGAATACTCTGGAAGATACAAGAGACATCAATATATACAACTCTACCATTTACACTCCTACCATACATAAAAGACTTAACAAATATAGCAAAGTCAAAACTCCTAAATCTATTCCTCCATAGACATGCGTGAAGTGCGCCAAACGTCCACCAAATATGCATGGCTTATTTGTTTCCAATAATAGCTCTTTAATTCCTAACAAAAGCATACCCTTTCCGTCAGATCCATCTACTCCTTGCTTGTAACACCTCCGCCCCTATATAAGATTGTTGAGTCATAGAATTGTTAATTCGCCTCACAAACCAATATAAGTCTTTCTAACATACTTTGTCCTCACTCGTATGGTTCTAAGAAACTTCTCAAGGGTTATCCATCCTAAAATTGTTCCAAGTCAAGCGTGCTTAACTTTGAAATTTTTAAGTGATGATGTAACTCCACAACTCGTTTACCCAAATTAGCACAAACGAGCTATGGTGTTAAGGACTATTAAACACGTATTTTAGGCGGAGCAAAATGGTGTTTGTCAATTAAAAACTTAGCAAAAATGAGTACATTACGGAAGCCATTACAATTTACGGTTACAAAATTCCTTTAAAACTTAGACTTTAAAACATTAAAGTAAGTCCTGAGCATCATCTTGGTTTCATATCATCTTTCCAAAGTGGCTTGTCTCCAACACTACATGCATCTAAAAAAAATCCAACAGTCAGCAGGTACAATTAACGAAGAATGTACAATATAACAAGCATACATGTACAAAATATTTTGCATGTCAATCTTGTTTTTTTTCGAATCAAATCATTATATCAACATTTGTATATTTTGTACCATCATGTATCTCTTATTGGTTTTCAACTTTTTCATTATCAACACAATGAATGCCCTTTAGCTCATTCGTGCGGCAGCTCATTCGTACGACAGCGGGTTCAATTTAGTGCTCATTCATACGGCATCTTTCTCAATATTTTGTTGGGTTGGGCTCCCAACTATGTGCTTTAAATGGCCCATTTTGGAGAATATGTTCTCATATTATTTTTTGGTCCACTTATTAAGAGTCAAAATAAACGTAGCAGCTGTCCAGGGAGCACTCATTATCATCATTTACGCACAAAAAGGAAAAAAACAGCCAAAAAGAGAGAGAGGTGCGCAGCAGGTTTTTCAAAAATGCAGAGCTGGTTTTTTGGACGATCGGAGGTCCAAATCTTGTCCAAATTTTAGGAGGAGTTCAAGGACTCATAAAGCTTCAATCTGAACGGTGGAGATCGAATTCCAACGGTTAGAAATTGTTTTATGAGCTTCGCACCAGCTGCTGTTTTTGTAGATGTTTTTACATCTTTGAGTTGATATTTTTGATTCTAGTGCCTTCGTAGTGTTGTTAAGGGCTAGATATCATTGTGGTGTTGTTGGATTGTTGATTTGTACACTCATTTGGTGATAGTGGAGTTGGTTAGACCGAAGGGTCTCGTGGTTTTTTACTCTTTCAAAAAGCTTGAATCCTTGTATGCATCAAAAACAGGGAATAATAAATTATTTTTGCTCAAACAGGCTATGAATTTGAGATTCAGAGAAGGTTGTTCTATTTCTGACCATTTGAATGAATTTCAAGGGTGTTTTGATCAGTTGTCTGACATGGGTGTAAAATTTGAAGATGAGATTATGGGACTTTGGTTGCTTAATACCTTGCTTGATTCTTGGGAAAATCTTCGTGTGTCCTTGATCGGTTCAGCTCCCGGTGATACAGTAACTATGGAGTATGTGAAAACTGCTGTCCTAAATGAAGAGGTGAGACGTAGAACTCATGAGACATCTACTTCAAAATCTGATGTCTTGGTTACTGAAAATAGGAGGAGAAGCAAAGACAGAGATCAAGGGGAATATAAAAGAGGCAAGAGCAGGAGCAAGTCCAAATCAAAATACAAAAATGTTGAGTGTCATTACTGTCACAAAAAGGGGCATTTGATGAAAAATTGTTTTAAGCTCAAGAACAAAGACAAGAACAAGCCAGAAGGGAGAGATGGTGAAAATGATCGCCACGTTGCAACCACAACTCCAGGTGATTTGATAATTGTTTGTGATACTGACTTGATTAATGTTGCCTTTGATGAAATAGGTTGGGTTATCGACAGTGGTGCTTCTTTTCATGTGACGTCGAGGAAGGATTTCTTCATATCTTATACTCCAGGTGATTATGGGGTATTGAAGATGGGTAATGATGGTCGCTCAAATGTTGTTGGCATGGGAGATGTTGTCTTGGAAACTAAAACCGGAATGAAGTTAGTGTTGAAGAACGTCAGACATGCACCTGATATTCGCTTGAATCTGATATCTACCAGTGTCTACCAGTGTTTTGGTGATGGGCAATGCAAACTCACTAAGGGTTCTCTTATTGTGGCTCGTGGGAAGAAGTGTTCAGGTCTATACTAGACCAATGTTTCCGTCTCTATTGATTCTGTCAATGCAGTCGAGAGTGATAGCTGTTCAGAATTATGGCACAGAAGACTTAGTCACATCAGTGAGAAGGGACTTGATTCCTTAGCCAAGAAAAATCATCTTTCAGGAGTGAAAGCTGCAAATTTGAAAAAGTGCAGTCATTGCTTGGCTGGGAAACAGAACAGAGTGTCCTTCAAGAGTCATCCATCTTTCAGAAAATCAGAGTTGCTTGAACTGGTACATTCAGATCTTTGTGGTCCTATGAAGACAAAGACACATGGTGGTGCATTTTATTTTTTGACATTCATTGATGATTGCTCAAGGAAACTATGGGTGTATGCCTTGAGACATAAAGACCAGGTTCTTGGGGTTTTTAAGCAATTTCATGCTTCCGTTGAAAGAGAAACAGGAAAAAAGCTGAAGTGTATTCGCACAGACAATGGTGGTGAATACCTTGGCCCGTTTGATGAGTATTGCAGACAACAGGGTATCAGACATCAGAAGACGCCTCCCAAGACTCCACAGCTCAATGGCCTTGAAGAAAGGATGAACAGGACATTGGTGGAGAGAGTCAGATGTTTACTTTCAGAAGCTCATTTGCCTAAATCTTTTTGGGGTGAAGCTTTATACACTGCTGCACATGTGATTAATCTATCACCTGCTACTGCTTTACATGGAGATGTTCCTGATCGAGTATGGTATGGTAAGAATGTTTCTTACGATCATTTGCGTGTATTTGGGTGTAAAGCTTTTGTACATGTGCCAAAGGACGAAAGGTCCAAATTAGATGTCAAGACGAGGCCTTGCATCTTTATTGGCTATGGTCATGATGAATTTGGCTACAGACTTTATGATCCTGTTGAGAAGAAGCTTGTCAGAAGCCGTGATGTTATCTTTATGGAGGATCAGAATATTGAAGATATCAAGAAGATGGAGAAGTCTGAGTCTCAAAGGTATGATGATCTTGTTGATTTGAATCCAACTCCCGTGTCTCATATGCCTGCTGTAACCAATGAAGACCAGGTTGATGATCAGAATCAGGTTCCACATGATTTTGTTGATGGTAATGGTGAAGAAGATTCAAATGAGGTACATAATCAACCTCATGTTGATAATAATGCACCTACAGTTGCTCTCAGGAGGTCTACAAGGGAGAGAATTCCTTCTACTCGTTATCCAGTTAATGAGTATGTGCTCCTCACTGACGGGGGAGAACCTGAGTGCTATGAAGAGGCTATAGAGAACGAGGACAAAGAAAAATGGGTTGAGGCAATGAATGAAGAAATGAAATCATTGCATGATAATCATACTTATGAGCTCGTCAAGTTGCCTAAAGACAGAAAAGCTTTGAAGAATCGGTGGATTTATAAGTTGAAGAATGAGCAGGGTGCTTCGTCTCCACGGTACAAGGCTAGACTAGTGGTTAAAGGCTACATTCAGAAAAAGGGTATTGACTATGAGGAAATATTTTCTCCAGTTGTGAGGATGTCTTCGATTCGAGTTGTTTTGGGTCTTGCAGCCAGCATTGATTTGGAAGTTGAACAGATGGATGTTAAAACAGCATTCCTTCATGGTGACTTGGGGAAGGAAATCTACATGGAGCAGCCAGAAGGTTATGTGGTAAAGGGCAAAGAGGACTATGTTTGGAAGTTGAAGAAGAGATTGTATGGCTTGAAACAAGCTCCGAGGCGATGGTACAAAAAGTTTGAGTCTGTGATGATCGAGCAGGGATATAAGAAGACTACTTCTGATTATTGTGTTTTTGTGCAGAAGTTTTCCGATGATGACTTCATTATTTTGTTGCTTTATGTTGATGATATGATTATTGTTGGTCATAACTCTTTGAGAATTGCAGAGTTGAAAACAGAGCTTAGTAAGTCCTTTGCAATGAAGGACTTGGGACCAGCGAAACAGATTCTTGGCATACAGATCACACGTGACAGAAAGGCAAGAAAGTTATGGTTATCTCAAGAGAAGTACATTGAGAAGGTACTTCAGCGGTTCCACATGGAGAAAGCTAAAGTGGTAAGCATACCTCTTGCTACTCACTTTAAGCTTAGCTCTAGACAGTCCCCGTCTAATGATGCTGAAAAGGCAGAGATGCGATGTATTCCTTATGCATCTGCAGTAGGAAGTTTGATGTATGCAATGGTTTGCACGAGGCTAGATTTAGCTCATGCAGTTGGTACAGTTAGTCGCTTCCTTTCCAATCCTGGCAAGGAACATTGGAGTGCAGTGAAGTGGATTATGAGATATCTCCGTGGCACATCCAGTTTGAAACTTTGTTTTGGAACTGGAAAACCTGTTTTGAATGTTTACACAGATTCTGATATGGCTGGAGATATTGATACCAGGAAATCCACATCTGGTTATTTGGTTACCTTTGCAGGGGGAGCTGTTTCATGGCAATCTAAGCTTCAGAAGTGTGTTGCGTTGTCCACAACAGAGGCCGAGTTCATTGCAGCTACAGAAGCTTGTAAAGAGCTGCTTTGGATGAAGAAATATCTTCGTGAACTTGGTTTTACACAGAAGAGGTATGTCTTATATTGTGATAGTCAGAGTGCTATACATCTTAGCAAAAAGATTCATACAGATGATAATGGGTCCGATATGATGACCAAGGCTTTGACAAAGGGGAAGTTTGAAGTTTGTTGTTTGATTGCCGGTTTGGCAACCAGCTCCACATAGTCGAGAGGGGGGAGATTTGTTGGGTTGGGCTCCTAACTATGTGCTTTAAATGACCCATTTTGGAGAATATGTTCTCATATTATTTTTAGGCCCACTTATTAAGAGTCAAAATAAAGGTAGCAGCTGTCCAGGGAGCACTCATTATCATCATTTACGCACAAAAAGGAAAAAAAACATCCAAAAAGAGAGAGAGGTGCGCAGCAGGTTTTTCAAAAACGCAGAGCTGGTTTTCTGGACGATCGGAGGTCCAAATCTTGTCCGATCGAGCTGAAATTTTAGGAGGAGTTCAAGGACTCATGAAGCTTCAATCTGAACGGTGGAGATCGAATTCCAACGGTTAGAAATTGTTTTGTGAGCTTCGCACCAGCTGCTGTTTTTGTAGATGTTTTTACATCTTTGAGTTGATATTTTTGATTCTAGTGCCTTCGTAGTGTTGTTAAGGGCTAGATATCATTGTGGTGTTATTGGATTGTTGATTTGTACACTCATTTGGTGATAGTGGAGTTGGTTAGACCGAAGGGTCTCGTGGTTTTTTACTCCTTCACGTTGAAAGGGTTTTCCATGTTAAAATCGTGTGCCTCATATCGTTTGTTTTGTGTTTGGATCATCTTGTTGCTTGGTTTGTTGCTTGTTTGTGCTTCTCACAGATTCTTTCAAGAGAGGAAAGTGTTTTTCTTGGGCAATACACATTCATTTGTGTTCTTGCTTTCCCAACATATTTGTAGACCAAATTCCACGTTTTCTAAATCGTTCTTAATTTTGGAAGAATATATTTTTTTTCCTTGTTCTTTGTATTTCTTTAAATAAATTATCAACTCATAAATATATTCCAAATGCATTATATTTATATTTACATAATCATATAAGAGTATGTATAAACTTAACATGCTATAATAAATTTTACAATATATTTCCTCGTTTTGATTTTGTTAGAATATGTATTAGGTTTTAAGTTAATGGCCTCGTTGTAAATGGGCTCACAATTAGATTAGACTAGTAGACTCTATACATATCGTATTTGCGTTTAATAAAAGGATTAAATTCAATTGTATTATATTTCTACATGGTATCGGAGACAAAGATTGGACACATGAAACCCTAGTAACCCTCGTTCCCTTTATCAATTTGTTGCTACTCCAATATTGTTGTCTTGTTTGTTGTTAACCAGCGGGATTTTACGTCGCCGCCTCAGATCTAGTTATACTGGTACAATTCAAGTCCAATCATCATCGTTCATAGGGGTGGCATTGTGGAGGTGTTCATCCGACCGTAATTGTGTTGGAGTTTTCAGCGCTATAAAGATTTGAGCTTTTGATCATGCTCAAGTCCTTTTGTCCTAAGATTTATTGATCTTGGTTATTGTTGGTTCAAATTAATTTGGTTGCTGCTTAATTTTTGTTCTAGAGTAGCCGCATGTTATCTACTCGGTACGAGGCTAGTCGTCGTCTTCAGCAATTTGTTGGTTTTGTGTTGCTTGTTTGCACTCCGCAGAAGAAAGGCTTTCATGTTCAGATCGAGCCACTTTTGATGGCGTTTTTCATGACATTGTTATTGGTTGTTTTTTTGGTAATTTCAATTGCAACCAGCCGTATGTTCGGCATGTTTGTTTGTGAGATTGGTTGCATAGTCGCACCTCAGTCCGGCAACACGCCGTCTAGATTTCGGATGCTTGTTAGTCGTCCCCGTGTCACCACGTGGGAGTCATTCGTCATCAACTTTTGTTTGTTCGTGCTCGGTCGCCTTCATCTGTTGTCGCAGCAAATCAAAGTTTTGTCCACTCCAAGTTGTCCATCAAGTTGTTTTTTTTTAAGTTCTAGTTTTATTTCCAAGTTGTTCATTCATGATTCTCATTCTCAACTTGAGGAGGATTGTTAAAATATGTATTAGGTTTTAAGTTAATGGGCTCGTTGTATTAAAAAAAATAGGATCTATACTATAAAAGTAGCATGAAAAAATATCTTCACAATTCAATTAAATTCAATGTAAATCTTTATTGGAATATTCGTAGCAAAAACATCTTCGATCAGACAAGCGCGGAAGTAATCCTTGCGTCGTCCAGTCCACGGAGGATGAAGAACTAACGAGACGGCGGCAAGCCTTAGGGATGGTAGCGACCATAACATTTAGCATTAGAGACCTCTTGTGACTCGATCTTTTCCTTCAAAGTTTTTTCCTTTTTAAAGTTGAGTTTCTCATATTTTCTAATGTTGAATGTTGGGATTCATTCCGTCGAGACTCAATTTACGTCCTCAGCCGTTTCAGGTATTTATCACCCCAAAAGATAGAATGGCAATGTAAACAACCAAAAGAGAATGCATGAACGAAGTCGACTGTAATCAACATATATGTAGTATCATTCAACTAAACAGAATGTGAAAACAGAACAATGTTCTAGACTCTATCTAAAGAACCTATCATATGGTGGTGGTTGGGTCAAAATCATCACTTAAGCACGCTCTCCACGGATGCGCCTGGCAAGCTGAATGTCTTTGGGCATGATGGTGACCCTCTTGGCATGAATGGCGCATAGGTTTGTGTCCTCAAACAGACCAACCAAGTACGCCTCTGCGGCCTCCTGGAGGGCGAGAACTGCGTGACTCTGGAAACGCAAGTCTGTCTTGAAATCCTGTGCTATTTCTCGGACTAGCCTCTGGAATGGAAGCTTCCTGATGAGAAGCTCAGTGCTCTTCTGGTACTTGCGGATTTCACTGTATTGTTGTTTTCAAAAAAACACATTTACGCCATTTAGAATTAGATTGATTCAAAACCAAAATGATCTCAGATATAGATATGAGAACGAGAAGCTTACCGGAGGGCAACTGTTCCAGGGCGGTAACGATGGGGCTTCTTCACACCACCTGTGGTAGGTGCAGATTTCCGAGCAGCCTTTAGGATACAAAAAGCATAATCAATTACGGAGTAATGTCCAGGCCTATGAACCTCAAATCGATACGATTAAGAATCATCAAATTTCAAACCCTAAATTTGATATAAAATTGGAAAATTGACAATTAAACCATTGACGATCTAGGATTCACAAATCTAAACCCTAAATTTGATATTCAATGGTTAGAGTTCGGCGGTTCGAGTAGATGAACTATGAACCAACGGGCGGCATACCTTGGTAGCGAGTTGCTTCCTAGGAGCCTTTCCGCCGGTAGACTTCCGGGCCGTTTGCTTGGTACGGGCCATTGCTCCGATTACAATACCAACGCAGAGATCAACAGCGACAATCTGTGCAAACCAAGCGAGGATTAAACGTATTTCACATCAATATAATAATCAATATTCGGAATTTCGAATCTGATCGAAGAGAATCCCATACCTGGAGAGAAGGTTTTGATCGGGATCGAAGAAGACGCAGAACTGCAGAAGTAGAAAGCGACGTGGGTGGAAGAAGTTTGCGGTTAGGTTATATATATAGAGGGAGAGACGGGGGGTTTTGAAACTGTGAGGATCCGTGTGCTTTGATATGATTGGTTGGGGCTTGGAATGGATGGCTGAGATTTGTGCGATTAGAATGACGAGGATCGATGAGTGGGTTTGTTGTGCTTCTTTGCAATGTTGACCGTTGGCGTGCTTATAACTCCGCCGACTTTCCGTATTGGAGCGCAACTCTGGGCTATTCGGTACTTTTTAATTGGGCCTTTTATTCGTTCCCACTATTTAAGCTCGCAAATTATATTATATATCCGGTTGTACTTAGAGATATGTACAGCCGGCGTTTAATAGGGCGAAAGGAAGTGCAAGAAACAGGCGATGAAGGAGGCTGGTCGATCGGAAGTCGGATATGTGCGAATCTATGATGATGATCGATGATGATGATTGATGATGAAGAAGGAAGACTGATGATGATGATGGGGTTTTGCTGATGATTCTGCAGCAGAGATGATGCACTGATGAAGAAGAAGAAGGAAGGAAGACTGGTGATGATGGAGTCTCTGCTGCGGTGATGATGAAGAAGAAGAAGGAAGACTGGTGATGATGATGGAGTTTTGCAGGGGATGATGATTGAAATCTTCGGTCAAGAATGAATACTGGTTTAAGTGGGAATGAGTACAAGTAATTTTTAAAATGTGTATTCGGTTATTTGTAAATTAATATTGCACAAATAAGTAAAAATGAATACTTCTTTATTTTAAAATGAGTATTACCTTTGCCAGAATGAGCAATGCGTATTTCGAAATAAATGTTTATATTTGTTCGAAAATGAGTACTATTTCATTTTAGAATGAGTATTACCTTGATGTACCTATTTCTATGTAAATCCGGATGTACCATATACCAACTCATTTAAGCTTTCTTTTTTATTCTGATTTTTAATTTCTAAGTTACTCCGTATTTTTTCAAACCCCTACCTCTTTTTTCAAATTACTTTTAGTTTTTGTTTTTAACTTTTTTCAATTTGTTCATCATTATCTTGTTTTTTCAAACTTCTTCCAATTTCTTTCAACTCTTTTAGTATTTCTAATGTTTTCTAGTTTTTTGCATTTTCTTCATTTTTGCACAGTCCTAATTTCTTCAGTCCTATTTTTACAATCTAAATTAACACAGCCTTAATGGTTCTCAAAATCGGTGCAGATTCCAATAGTTAAAATTCACCTTACGTTTTATCGAGTCAATCTTTTCAACATTCCTAGAGCATGTATCCACTAGATGGATAATGATCTTTTTGTTTGCTTCGTCCATCAAACATGTTTACTAGTGAGAACATTAACTCGGTGTGCCTCGAAGTACGGGGTTAATCTCTTCGTCGTCCAATAGACTACCAACATTGCCTATTTCGGTCGTGAGTACTTCGATTCAGTATCCCTTAGCGTCTTACTGACGTAATAAACTAGATGTTGGACTTCTTCCTCCCGCATGATCATTGTGCAAACTTTAATGTCTGAAATGGCCAAATACAAAACCAATATATCCACTAGATTTAGTTTAGGCAACACGGCGGTTACCCAAATACCTCTTTAACTATTTGAATGCTTCCTGGCACTCGTGGGTCCACTCAAAAGTGGCTTTCTTCTTGATCACGGTAATGAAAGGGTGTGCTTTCTCAGCCAGCTTAGACAAGTATATGTGGCATCCACGACAATCATACATTCATATAATTATTGGTGTGCCCTTGGGAATCCAATTCTCCATCGTACCGCTTGATGAAGAGAACTTTAAACCATAGAGGGTAGGGTTCCACAAATATTTCTAGGGCGAGGGGAGTATTGGTATGGGTCGTAAAAACCAGTCCATGGTTCACCTTGCGCTGCATCTCTTGAATTTGCCGCTGAAGATCCTTAAAATCCCCTATCTCCGGGTTCGATTTTCTCGAGCACTAGGGCGACAGAACCCTCAGCCAGCTTTGTGCCTCATCCTCTACCCGGCTTTTAGGAGCTGCTCGGGTTCTGCTTCGGCGTTGTTCTCAGTGGGATAATTTCACCCGGTTAGGCTAGGGTCGTTCCATGCCCATATGTGCCTTTTTTGGGTTCTTCCCCAACCTTCCGCTAACTAGGACCCGCCCCCGGGACATCCATTCGAATATCGTGCCTCTCGGGTTCCCAGTCTCCGTATTGTATAGCTGGCTAGTTGTCCGGGGTCCAGTCGGTGCTCGGCCTATCATCCGGATGTTGTCCCTGGTTTCCCCAATTATACTGGGCTAACTCAGCCTCCAGGCGCCTCTTGATGGCTTCCCTTACTTTCTCGGTCTTTTCAGGAGTATAAAGCTCTTAAAGGATTGGGTTGGTCTGCCCCCAAACTGTTTGGAGGATCTGTCGCGGTTGCTCTACCGGATTCTTGGGAACTCTGGAGGGTCCTTGGAGAGCTTGCTCAAGCCTTTCCATGACGTTAACCATCATGTTGATGATGTTGTTTAGGGGCCGCCTCTGACCCGTTAGTTTGAGTGGCATTGTGCTGCTCAGGCACTCTTGTCGCAACATATGATTGCTGCGAGCTGAGTTAGTGGCATTACGCATGGAGTTCCTTGTTCTTTGTCCAGCCATACTCCCCCGATATCAATCTCACAGTTTAGCTATCAATGAAAGCACCAATGATTGGATTTAGTCTAACCACTATGGCGTGCAAAGAACTAAAATGAGAATAAAAGCAGTATTGGTGGAATATGTATAACTCTTATAGGTTTGTGTTAGCTCACTTTCGCTTGGGTTACTATAGAGTGTTTATCCTTTATTTATAGTCTAATTCTATCATATATAAGACATGTAATGTTATGCACTACATTATCAGTAATTCGTCCATCATGCATCAATTATGGCGGGGAATCAGTCATTAATTCCCCCGCAATCTCACCATTTGGGGAATCACGTCTTTTCTTCGTACCGAGCCTAATCCATCGCTTTGGATCAACCTTTGATTCACTACTTCATCCGATCTTCATTCACGCTCCGGCACTAGGCTTTATTCATGTTAGGCCTCAGAATTGTATATGGGCAGCCTAAAGCCTATTCAACGATATGGGCAGCCTGTTCAATTAGCACGGCGATGATGGTTGTGTGATTAAGTGACGAAAGGATATGATGAAGATGGAAAAGGGGTTACAGATCAGAATAAGATGATGGAGATGGAAAAGGGTGGCTATGCAACTAAGAGCATCTACAACGCATGTTGTATATTTTGGTAGTGTAAAAGTAATTTTACACTATCAACAGTGTTTTACACATCCAGATTTTTATATTCTCTCCAACCATATCTTCTATTTAAAACACTTTTATAATACTTTATTATTATATTATTTTTTACTGCCTTTATATCTACTCTCCTTATTCAAAAATTCATTTCCAAATTTAATAGCAGACCTGTTGCAGAAATTTATCTGAAAGAAGGTTTGAGGAGAGTATCAGTTTTGGCTTCCAATTTTAGGGCAGAGCAAATTGAAGAAATGAATAAAATCAAAGGTGAATTAGAGAAAGGGTACAGATTGCATCAGTTTTGACTTGAAAGAAAATTGAAGCAAATTGAGAAAGGGATTGGGATGAAGAATTTGAAGCAAAACGAGAGGAAGAGCCGAAGGGGGATGAAGAAAAAAAAGAGAAAACAGTGAATACCCTATCTACAGTGGCTGTGTAGAAATAAGAGGTGAGACTTGATTTTTGCACTATAGTGCTTTTTAGCTTTTGGGATACACTATGCGCTAGAGGAAGATAAAATGAATAGTAAATTGGATATAGGGTATATTTAACCATATACACCTTGCGTTGGAGATGCTCTAAGATAGGTCTGCGTGTGGAGGAAAGCGACTTCTAAATTTAAATCCGGAAGTAACAATCCGCAATTTTGCCTTTTATTCTCCCTTTGACCATCTTTCATTTTTCGTTTGACTCTCCATCCAAACGCGGGATAAAATCACTTCGAGCATAAAATATACTGTATAAAATTAGATTGTCAACCGACGGAGATTGTCACAGTTTAATTTTTTTGGTCAAACTTTAATACTCTTTGATCGGGAATTATGAAAAAAATATATTCAGTTTTAATGCACCTTTAGTAAAATTAGGTTTATTATAAATATAGTATAGAAATATCAAATTTTTATTATATATAATTGTTTTAAATAATATTTAAATCGTAGTCAAAAGATACCACAGTTTGACCAAAATAATCAAGCTACATTATTTTTTTAGGCGTGAAAGAAGTATCATATTATTATAGTGTAAAATTCATTTTGAGATAAAAATATTATGTACTACTCCATCCGTCCCAATTTAAATCTCTTGTTTTAACTTTTAGGCATATTTAAGGAAAATAAAAAAGAGTTGATTTTTCGAAATTGACATTACTTTTTAGGAGGGGTGATGATGAATGATAAGATAAAGTGAAGAAGATTTACTTATTTTAGAGGTAGTTTAGGTATTTTATTTTTAAAAGTTTATGAAAACAACTAACATACAAGATATTTTGAAACAGAGAAAAAAGGTAAGCAGAGAATTTAAAATGAGACATAGAGAGTACTATTTTAGATAATTTTGGTATAAAAGTTACTCCGTATATTTTAGATAATTTCTTTTATAATTACTCGTATTGTTTTATATAAACCCATTTCTCAGGCGATGCATTTTCCTAATTACGGAGTAATAAAAGAGTTGCTTCTGTTGTAGGGTTTGGGATATTTTTGTTTGTTTAATCTGATACAACACCTAGATAGAAGACGGATTCCACATTTTCTATTCCTTTCCGCCGCCGCTAAGCCTTCTTTCAATCCGTTTCTGGCAATTCTGTGATTGCAATCAGTGAGTAATCAGTGGATCTGTGGCTGCATTTGGGTTTCGTTTTTTTATTTTTTGAATTTTTGGACCGTTGAGTTGCCGGAGATGGCGGAGAAGAAGGCGGACGAGCAAGAGGAGGTCAAGGGCGGGGAGTTATTGTTCTGCGGGTGCTCGAGCTGGGACGCCATTGGTCGTCGCAAGGTGTCACCGGAGCACAACCTGTTTTCTCCGGTGAGGCTTCGACCTCTGGTCGGCGTCAATATTTGCTTAGTTGCTTCTGGCTGTGGTAAAGTTATCAGCTTCCCTCCTCTTTTTTTTTTTTCATTTTTGAATTTCTACTACCTGCACAATGTAGCTGCTAGAATGTTTATAATCCAGTTCAATTCTTTTAGGGTCCGTTTGGAATCGGTCACATTGCCAGGGAAGGAAATTAAGAAAGAAAAATAATGGTTCATTTTTTTCTTCAAAATCAATTTTAGACGTTTGTTCAAGCCCATTGTATTTTGAAAACTCTAAGAAGCTTTAAACGATATTGATTTCGTTCTGTATTTCCCAAGGTAAAACTGAACATGACAAGCCCATTTTATTAACCACTTCTGAAATAGTTTTGCTGTAAGTTGTTAGTATTTATCTGTTTAATTAATTAATTAATTTACGTTTTCTAAATGAATGTAGCATCTTGTCATTGTGTTGCACTGGACACTGAAGGTCGATGTTATACATGGGGGCGGAATGAGGCATTAGTTTTCTTCCTCTCATATTTATTACCTAATGTAATGCTACAAAATTTGCTTGTGTAAAACAAGATGGAACTTTGTTGAATACATGCAGAAGGGGCAGCTTGGTCATGGAGATACACTTACGCGTGATCGACCAACCATTGTTTCAGAACTCTCCAAGTATACCCCCTCCCCACCTCAAACAAGACTATGTCTTGTTTACCCATTGCTCTCCTTTGATACATAATTTCTCATTTATACAACCTTTATTTGCCTCATTCATTATGGACTCATTTCATGATAAATGGACCCATGTCCTTTACATGTTTAAGGGAAAAGCATTTGCAAAAGTATCCATTTATTTATATATTTACATGCTTTTTTCCATACTTCTTTTTAAAATGTGTCATTGCACATTGTGTCATTTCTTGTTTCCGTGTTTCTTGTGTCCATGCTAGATATAGAGTTATGAAATTTTAACCCAGAATCGATTGGAATGATAGGTGTAACCCATATTCATATATATTTGTATGATGTGAGACTATATACTCTACACCAGATACTGCAGTTTTTGGTACTACATGAATGCTTAACTTAAAGTTCTTTATGTTGATTGACCTTTCATTTTTTTCCCCAGGCATAACATCATCAGAGCAGGATCGGGAAGAAGCCATACAGTAGTTGTAACTGATGATGGACTCTCCTTTTCATTTGGATGGAATAAACATGGGCAGCTTGGGACTGGATCTGTTAGAAATGGTTGGTATACTCAGCGAATAATTTAGTTGGAAAAAATATAGCTTCCCAATATTTTAATGGTCCGTTTGAAACCAAAAAATACTAGGGAATACAATACAATGAAGGGCCTAAGGAGAAGATTGATGAAACAAGATGGGACAAAAATGTAGTGAAATTAAAAGCTATGCTAAAAATCAATCAATTTATTTTAGATATTTGTCATACTCATTTTGTACATTTTCCCAGAGAAATACAAACACGGAATATATGAAAAAGCCTTTCCCTTTGCATTTTCATTTCCCTAACATCTTCTCAGGTCATAAGGGTGTAATCTTACTCTTTTCATAAAGAAATAGTGAATAAAATTGAGGAAGAAATGAAGTCCGGGGGTGAACCAACCCACTACTCTAGGATTTAGTCTTACTTAATATAGTGGACTACAGCTTAATAACATTCTTGCCTTTTGATTTGTATGCTTGCAGAAATAGAGCATTCTCCAGTACGTTGCCTTGTATCTGACGTCAAAACAGTCTCTTGTGGAGCTGATTTTACTGTTTGGCTGACCTCTATTGAAGGATCTTCTATATTGTATGGTTGTGTATTTTTTATCTTGAAATTTGCCTTTTGCAAATAAACAAATCATTTTCTAATCGCTCATATTGTTGTTTATTGTTTTTAGAACTGCTGGTCTACCACAGTATGGCCAACTTGGCCATGGCACTGACAACGAGGTAACATAATTATCACTACATGATGTATTTTCATCTAAAGTGATTGCTTCATATTGCTTAATACTCCATAATCCGTATATAGTGTTATTTGAACTGGGTAAATTATAACCGCTTTGAATATACATGTGTGAGGTAAACCCCCATTATGAGGATCCCTCTTGGGATGAGCTATACCCTTAGCATAGTATTAGTCATTAGAGCCGTGCCCTATAATCATCGCTTGATGGTTTGGGGTAGCTCCTTTGGGGGTTAGTTTGGCACCATTTTCCCAACTGTCCATTTCAATTTGGGTTGGAGTGTGTTGAGTGTTCCACATTGGTTTTCCACTTCATTTGAGTGGTTTGAATCTACTCCCTCAGTCCCACTATTTTTGAGACATGAGAGGGCCGTGATTTTAGAAAAAAATAAAATTGTGTGGTTGATATCAGTGTTGAGAAGTAGGATAAAGTCTAAATGTAAAGCACACATATATGACCTAATATGATATGAGACGAAAATAGCGGGACAAACAAAAAGGGAGAAAAGAGAAAAATAATGGGACTGAGGGAGAACTATATGAAAGAGTCGTAAATATCATATATTAAGGATACTTTCAGAGTGAGTTAGACCCAATATAATAGATAGTGTCATTTTTATACAGCACAACACCAGAGACAGTTCAGTGAAACTTGTATATGAAGCTCAACCTAAGCCCAAAGCAATAGCTGCCTTTGCTGGTGAAACCATTGTTAAAGTGGCTTGCGGGTCAAACCACACAGGTTCTTATCTTAATGTAATCTATATGTATGTGTACCCTTATATACATAAACTCATTTAAGACCAAAAAATAGTATATGCTGCTTTGTGTAGTTGTTGGTAATTTCCCTTACCCTTACATTTTATGTTATGATAATCAGTTGCAGTTGATTCAAATGGACATGTTTATACGTAAGTTTTCCTACATCATATTTGGTTTAGCTTATGACTCATTTTGATTTGTACACCCATACACGATAGTAAATAACTTTTTTTTTTTACTAAAAAAATATTTCAGCTGGGGCTTCGGTGGTTATGGAAGGTCGGTATGCTCACTATATCAATTACAAGCATGCCATTTACTTTATTCTTCTTAAAATGCAACGACAACAATATAATATGGATTATAAATAACTTCAAGTGCTCATTTGCTGCTGAGTTGGCAGGCTTGGCCATAGAGAGCAGAAGGATGAGTGGGCCCCGCGACGTGTTGATGGATTTAGCAGGCAAAATGTCCTGCCCCCTGATGCTGTGATCTCAGCTGGTTCTGTGAACTCATCTTGCACTGCTGGTATGCTGTGTGTCTAGGTCTATATATGTCACTCACCCCTGCAAATGTTCTTTGTTATCCTTCCCTTTGCTAATAGACACACGCCTCTCTCATGCTCGGGATCCCCAATACTAAGCATTACACATTGGTTTTGAAAAATACAATGGTGTGTGATCATCTTTCATTTCCATATGCATATTATTATTAATATTGTTATTGGACGTGTCCTTTTATATGTAGGGGGAGGCCAGCTATACATGTGGGGAAAAATAAAGAGCACTGGGGATGATTGGATGTATCCTAAACCTCTAATGGATTTAAGGTTCCTTCACACCTGCTTTATTATTATTGTTATTATTACTATTATTGTTATAATCATTATTGTTGTACTTCTTGATTTGAAGTGGGTGGAACTTGCGTTGTATGGATTCTGGCTACATGCATCACTTTGTTGGTGCCGATTCTTCTTGCATAAGCTGGGGGCTTGCACAATCTGGGGAGCTTGGCTATGGCCCTAATGCTCAAAAGTAATTATATGCTTTTCATTTCTCGTCTATATTCTTTTTCTTACATCTCCATGGCTATTTGAGTGGAATTCTTATGATCATACCCCCATTGGTACATGTAGATCTTCTGCAATTCCTAAAAAGGTGGATTCTCTCGAAGGCATGCACGTCCTCAGGTTCGATATCCACAACTCGGTCTTGGTTTGTGTTTGGGTAAATGTTGACAAACCAAAGAAAAAAAAACTTTTTTTCAGGAGTTCCTTTTTCCGAACTCATTTACAGTAATGGACTTTGTGTTTGGATAGTTTCTGAAAATATAAATATATTTTTTTCATGTAGTGTTGCATGCGGATATTCCCACTCCATGATAGTGGTTGACAGGACTGGTGTTTCTGATAAAATTGATCAGGTGAGAACTTTATGCTACATACTCTTATAGTTTGTATGTAACTGCTTTCATGTACATCGAATGAGTATTATGTAACTCCGTATATATCCATACACAAAATATAGATTGGAAGATTGTATAATATCTATATGCACGTATGCTTGCTTCTCTCGTTCATATTTCATCCGTTTTCTTCTTTAATCTTCTTCATCACAATTTGAATGTTTTGTTGAATGTATGCTTGAAAATCATATTGACGTCAAAAGTCCTTTTAATCTGTTGGGACAGTTTGAAGTATACGATGGCAAGACTTCCGAAGAACTTGAGAATGAAAAAGCTTCAGCCCCTAAAAAAGCTCCTCCGAAAAAAGCCACCAAGAAGCCAGCAGCTGCAAAGCCCAAGAAGAGGAAGAAGTCCTCTAAAGAATCATCATCTGAGTCTGAACCAGAAGAGGAAGAAAACAAAGAAGAAGAAGAGGAAAACGGTCACAGTGAAGATGAAAGTGAAGAAGAAGAAGAAGAAGATTCAAACGGAAAAGCTGCTTCCAAAAAATCTGGTCGGGGGAGAAAGGCTGCTACTGCCACCACTGGTCGTGGCGGCGGTCGTGGTGGCTCTAACAAGAAGGCCACTCCAAGTGAGAAGCCAAAGGGGTCCGGTAAAAGAGGAAGGCCAAGAAAGTCAGCCCAATAATTGTTTCCAGCAGGATTTGTATTTTTTCTTCCCATTTTATTGTATTTCTTCAATTGCTTCTGTACTTGTTTCCAAATTTAGACAGTTTGATTGCTTGCCATATTAGGGCTCTTTTAAAACAAAAAAAAAATCTGAAGCATTTTGTATCTGCCAGCTAGTTTTTGGAAAGTGGAATGAAGATGTTTTTTGGGTCATTTTAAGTCCATTCCAAGTTTGCCCCTCCCCTGCAAATCTGATTCCTTCTGGAATCTTGTGGTGAGTGAGTGAAATTTGTAGCCAAATTGCTCTTCTTGAATGGCGAATATGCATAGCATAGCAAGTACTCCGTTTTGACTTTTTGAGTGAAATTGAAAAAAATTTGAGCTTCAATTACTTTCAGTTTGTATTATACGCAGAAAATTACTTTGTACCCCCTCCGTCTCATTTTATAACGCCTGTTTCGGTTTACGATGTTTGACTGAAGTTATTTTCAAATCATTTTGAGTAAATTCCATAATTGGTCCTTTATACCAAGGGGGTTTTCATATTTAGTCCTCTATTATCAAATATTATCTCCGTAGTTCTTTTTTTAAGAGTGTTTTTCCACAAATGGTCCTTTTTTTGATCTTCTGCCATGTTAATATTAATTTAAAGGCTAAAAGTATAATTTGACATCAACATTATGTTTAGTGACATGTTCTGATATTGGTTAAGCGGATAACACAAAAATAATGACTATGATTGTGGGCTAGGATTCTGACGAAAGACCACATTTGTAGACTATGGTTGTAGTAGAAAGCGACAGTAATTCACAAACGACGGAAACGAACTAGCCTTTGGAATTGTGTATGACAAAAAAATATATTATCATTGTGAAATTATACTTTTAGCCCTCAAATTAACATCAACATGATAGAAGATCAAAAAAAGGACTATTTATGGAAAGATACCCATAAAAGAAGGACCACTGGTGTAATATCTGATAATAGAGGCTAAATAGGGAATCCCCCTGTTATAAAGGACCAATTATGAAATTTACTCAATCATTTTATATGACAAATTGTATAGAGTTAAAAAATAAAAATTACATATCAAAATACTACATCAAAAGATCTACAAAACTAGTAGTGACAGCAATATTTTATTTTATCAAATTGCTAACGAAAATAGAGAAAAAAAGTGAATGAAGTTTGATCATGTGAATAGTAAACAGACATTATAATTTGGGACGGAAGGAGTAGTAGATTGGGATATAATTTTGATAATTTTTTAAAAAAATTAATAAAATCATTTTTACGTTAAAGTACATTACTGTTTTTATTGAATTAAAGTTCAAAATTTATCTAATTTAATTTGAAAAAGTCAATCAAGATAAATACTTCGTACTTTTTTGCACTTTTTTGAGATATTGATGTTGCAAGTAATTTCTTTGGATACATTTTTAAAAAGTTCTTGTGGTGTTGTAAATTTGCCTTTTCCTCAATATACCCTCTCTAGACCCAATTTTGAGAGATTTTATTGTCTTTTTTGTTGAAAGTTTTAAAATATTTTTAAATTTTCTTTTAGAGAAAAAAATTAGTTCGTAATTTTTCCTCATATAAGAACAAGCTTTAAACAATCATTTTTTCTACTCCGGTAGTTTCTTACTCTGTTATATTCGTGCCCAATATAATCTAAATAGAAATTCTTATATTTTTATAATCTAAGTAGAAATATCAACTGTGGATAACTGGGCTGGGCTGCACTTTTGAAACTCTGTATTTTGGGCACATCAATCTGACTATCATGCTCCTGAATATAAAGTGTGGATAACACTTCAATCTTCCTGAAATTGTTACTTTTATTGAGATATTGCACGCATCAAACTACTTGCTATAAAGCAGCACTATGCATTCCCTTTTTGTTCTTACAAAACATTTATAGATGCATGTGTTAGGTTTCCTAAGCTATGTGTGTATGTAGGGTATGTTGATGGAATGGCACTTCCATGGTAGCTAATGCTTTCCTTGTAGTTTTCGTACTTGTAAATCTGTAGCTTACGAGTTCTACATATAACTTACATTGATCCACTTTTAGGTCTATTTAGCAAAATGTATTGCTTTATGTTTTTTAAAGAAAATTGTACTTTCAACAGGTTAGGTTGTTCTTATCTGAAGATTCTCCTTCACAAGTTGGTTTCATTGGTCAAGATCACCTCCAGGCAAAGCCATCTCATGCAAGTGGAATCACATCTGATGATAATTTACCTCCAGGTTTCGAAGGAGCACAGGCTTCGAACCTTTGGAGAACTAAGCTTTTCCAAATACCTGTCATCAAATGGGAATATCCTCCAAGAGTAAGTTCGAAAGATTTTTTTTTCATTTTAAATATCCCAATTACATTATTTAAAACCACCTTAATCCCAACTAGTTGGAGTTTGTGGCATGAAATTCATGTTAAGTCCTACAATTAATTATTGAGAAGTATATGGTCTACACTATACAATAATATATCACCATACAATTATACAATTCTTGTAAAAGTATAGGGTCAGAGTTTTAAGCCAGATGCCTTTGTTGTCTCAATGTTGCAACCTTCATGCGAAAGAATTGAAAGGTGAAAATTTAGAACTGTTAACATCATGAATGGTTTCATTTTCATGGAAAATATTGTGAGATAGGATTGTGATAAAATAGTTGTTTTAGTCATATTCCATTATGAGAATTTGTACACGAGATTGTATTGTAAAATTGACATGCACATAGTAATGTTTCTTTAAAGTCTGTGTTCGAGAGTATTGTTTGTTTGTATTCTATTGGTACTGGATTACTGATGATGACATGAACACATCTCACTCATTTTTTATTTGATATCTATGTATTTTTTCAAAGGTCTTCCTGCAATATAATAACACTGTATGATTTTTGACAGTTCAAATTGGAAGCTAACTGGCGAGTTGTTTCTGGCGAGGAGAGCCAAGAGCGGGAAGTTCAAAAGCAACGAGAGATGAGAGTGCTTGAAGCAATATATCCTCGCCCATCTGCGATTCCCCTCAAGTATGATGCTTCATTGCCCATTCGATTTTGTTTTTCTTCATTTTCATATGATAAGAGCCTGTTTGTAAGAAAACTTTTGCTGAAATGACTGAATTTGTCAATTTTGTTCAAGGAATAGCTATTGGTAAATTCCATTTCTTGCAAAAGTGCCCGTTTGGTCTTCTCTTTAAAAACAATATTCTAAATTAAGTACTTTCCAAAAAAATCACTCTGGTGTCTTTGTCAATGGAAGTGCTTTTAATTTAAAGCTAAAAATTGATGAATTCCAATTCAATAAAAATAATTATATCCATAAAAGCAACAACATATGGAGTATTATTTTTCAAAATTTTTTTTAAAAAAAGGATTCATATGTTTCAAAAGTCATCCAAAAAGACACTGATCATGTTTGTTAAGGAGTTGTTTGGCACATATTGAATATCTTTGAAAGGAAAAGTGTTTGGTTATATACATTTTCGCCAAACAAGTCAAACACTAGTTCTGATCATTCTCCTTCAATGTGGCAAGTAAAATAAGGTACATTTGGCTGCCAAATGAGATCTGAGCAAGTAGTATAATGCTAAACTTCTTCTTCTTATAAATAGAAACTCAACAGGCCAAGACTATAAATGACACTGTCATTTATAGTGTTCTGCCTATCTTTTTTTTGATGGGGTTTCCATAAATGACACTGTCAAATTTGCCTAGTATACTCTTGAGGAAGCATTGTTGTTGATTAACTATGTGGGTTTTCATCACCATGCAGCCCTTCAGCAACAGCAGAACACACTGTTGTTCACACTGATAATCAACACACACCTCTGATTCCCATCACATCTATCGAAGAAGACGACGCCGCTGACACAATATTATTGCAGCATGATGCGCCCGCTGCTGTGGGTCCCAATCCCACCAATCTGACCCCTCCTTTAATGGAGGGCCCTGAAGGAGCTACCGTGCCTTCCCATTCAACCACCACTGCCGGAGCATCCTCTTCTTCTTCTTCCTCTGGTAGCAGCTTGGAACCCGATGACAGTTTAACGGTTGCGCTAGCTGCCTTGAGCTCGATAATGGCAAACGACCATGGAAATCTCATTGACTCTGAACTCCTCGTCAAAATTCTAAGTGACCCTCAAATTATAGGGCAATTAGTCACCCATCAAGGAGGAGGAGGAGGGAGCAACTTGCCAGCCATGAAAAGTAGTAATGGACCTGCGAATGTGGGGCCGCCGGGCTTTAGCTTCTCAAATCCAACAACACCGCTGCCCGTTACTAGTGGACCTATCAACCTCCCTCCCCCTCCTCCTCCGCCGAGGATGGTGGGACCCACCCCCAGCGCGATTCAATCAACTTCATCACCCTCTTCCTCTTCCAAGGACATGAACTATTATAAAAGCCTCATTCAGCAACATGGAGGGGAAAGACAAGACACCCTACCACCACCACCGCCGCCACCACGGCCTGGACGGGGAAATCAACACATAGATTCTTCTCCGGTTCAGGAACCACCACTGCCGCCACCACCACAGCTATACAACACCGGATGGGGAAGTCAACACATTGATTCTTCTCCGGTTCAAGAACCACCACCGCCAGTTGTTAGTTCCAGATCATCAAGAGATCCTAATAAACCAAAGATAATGAAGCCCTGCATGTTTTTCAACAGCCAGAGAGGGTGCCGGCACGGGGTGAAGTGTGCTTTTTTGCACGATTCCCCTGCACCACCGCCGCCCTCCCAGCGGAGGGTAAGTGGTTTTCCGGACGTCCAAAGCACAAAGAGAATGAAAATGGATAGGGAGATTACCGGAACTTGAATCCTGGCTTTGTACATCCTGGGCTTTGTTTTTTTGTTTACTATTTATTAGCTAGCTTTTCCAGCTTCTCTTATATTATACTCTACTAGGATGAACATATATATTTCTGAGTTGCTGGCCGATCTTTTTTTGGTATGATTTTAGTTTTGAGACTCTTCTTTTCTTGTTGTGTTCATTTTTTATGTGGCTCATTGTGATTATCATTGATCAAGAAGCAATGGAATGTGTTGAAAAACTAACAGGATTGGATTGATATGAACCCTTATAACCTCATTTGAAACAAAATGAAAATTAAGTACTTGAATTTTATGTTGGGTTATGATACTCTTATGTTTTTAAATGTGATCCATTACTTTTCTTTTATTGTTATGTTCAACTTGTCATTTATGTCTTTATGTGATTCTGTTAGTGATTTAAATAAATTATGTGTATGTAATTATGCTAATTTGACTCCCACATAAGAGAATATAGTGTCATTAAATTTTATCATTATGTGATTCTGTGAGTGATTTAAATAATATTAACTCGTAGTAATGTGCAAAGTATTTAGTAAAGTGGGTTGAAGGTATGACTCATTTTCACGTACTTGGGAAGTAGAATTTCGGGAAAAAATAAGGGAAAGTACATATTGTTGATATCTAAAATATTGCCATTGCTAATCAAAGTGATGCATTGGAGTTTTTTAAAAATAAAATTAGACAAAATAAATTATATTCAAAGAAAATCAAGAAAAAAACATGAATTCATTTTGAGGGCTCCAAGAATTGACCCAACAATTTAATTTACTTTAGAGACTTAAGTGAACTCTGCACTCGACAATCTAAAACAAAATGCTATAGACATAATGGAGTGATAAATTATCAGATCATGCAACAATTGCACCAAAGTTTGATATTATGTAATTTTACAGATGATTATTATTCATATAAAAAGATAGTCATTCTCAATGAATGTGGAAGTTAAATTTTGATGTTAAATTTGGGTTATAAAATCGATTTACCCTTATTTATTAGTGAACTCTAAACAAATTAAACTCGAACTTATCTCTTTTGACATGTTCTCAATCTCACGTGAGAATTTGAGCTTATTCTCTTTAACTTATTTCTATTAGAATCAAATTAGAAACAACTTTAAATACAACGGCAATGAGATCAAAGTGGAATGAATCAGAACATATTCTAATCAGATCAAAATCGAAGAGAAACATCATAGTTCTCCGACTATTTACATTGGACTGCCTTATTGGGCTGAACAAACTCGAAGTCAAGAGTTTAGTCATTAAGCCTGTTCAGTTATTACATCTCAAAGACATTTGATTCGAGGCCCAGCCCCAAAACCAAGCAATCCTTTCCGGGAAATTTTGCTCGGGTTTATCTAGGGTTTTCGCCATTGTTGGGCAATAAAGAAAAGTGAAATCTTCATCCCTGAGAGTGACTCAATGGAGGCGTTGCAGCGCTGCGATGCGAATCTAGTTGTTTATGTCCACCCTTCCAAGTCTAAGAACGTCAAGGATGCTATTCATCGCGAATTGAGCTCTCTTCTTTTCAAGTAATTGCTCATTATCTTCGCCTGCATTTTGCGCCATATATTCACATGTATTCATATTTCATCTGAATTTTCTGATTGGAAACAATATTTTATTGTAATTGTTAATGATAGTTTTTTTTTATTTATTATATGATCCATTCGCGTAGTTGATATGATACGGTTTAGAGAAATTGAAATGATCGTTGTCAGTGAAAGTGACACCGGGTCGCCGGTGGAGGTGGCCGGAAGTTGAGGGTGATATCAAAACTTCCATTTTGATGTCCCCCAAAATCTTGAAATATCAAAATAGTCCCATTTGGGAGAAATGTGATGCCTTCTAATATCGAATCCGAACTCTATTTAAGCTTTACCAAATGTCCACATAAATGTTCTCATATACGTAGATATCTTTTTTGTTCACCAATCAAGCCCTTAGGGAGTTATATTTGATCACATTTTCTTTCTATTTTAAAGGTTTAGTGATGCTTTTGATGGAGTGGTGCTGGCTTATGAACCGGAGTTCCGGGTTACCTTGGCAAAGATTCTCCCAGGGATTCAACCATATTTTGGTGTGACATTTCAAGCAAAGTTGTTAACTTTTCATCCAAAGAAAGATATGACTTTAGGTAGTTTTTTATCATTTGGTTTTATGATGATATTTGTGCAGTTTGAACTGTAAATTTGAATAGACGCGTGGGAAGAAGGTGTCTTGAGCTTGTCAAATTTTTTGGGAGTAACCTTGGTGATGTTCCCATTTAATTTGTGCTTTTTTGCAGAAGGAGAAGTTGTAAAAGTTTCCCTACAGTCCATTCACATGATCGTTCTTGGATTTTCATCAGCTGTGATTGCCGATGAAGATTTGTGTGAAAAATTCAAATATAAATTTGTAAGCCACCCCTGAAAACCTTGCTTTGTCCATTTTCTCCTCCATTTCTGAATACTCAACCCGTACAACAACTATTAGAACAACCCGTTATAACCCCAACTCCATTAGCTTCTGAAGGGCCAAGATGTACGCAATCTTAGCTGTATTCAAATAGAGGCTGTTTCCGTGCTTAAATAAAAAGATTTTGTTCACAAATAGCTAGGCATTTAGGAATCTAATCCAATAAAGTAAAACGACCAAGTTTCCCTCTCATACATATATGACCTTATTTACACTTTTTATGCATCATGAATAGATTTGAGTGTCACAATATGAGAAACTGCACCAAAGATATTGAAGTGTAAAACTGGAAAAGAGTAATTAAACCATCATTTAAAGAGTGAAATTGAAACTATGACAAATTTGTTTCTAGGAGACAGATGTTTAGGAATCGTGAGATTAAGCTATTTATGCCCAGTTTTATCTATTTACTTTATATTTCTTACTGCAGAAACACGGTGAGGAAGTTTTTGTCAGTAGATCTCATAAAAGACATAAGATAAAAGTGGGAACAATTGTGCGATTCACAGTCAAGAGGTAAATGGTCTCTTGCTTGAGTGTATATTGTGGTGTTATTATAGTTCAGTTGATCTTGTTGCATTCTTTGCGTCATTCGAATCAAGATGTTGGCAGAGTATTGCGGACATTATGTGTATTTACTATTTACTACTTCAAGTTTTTTCTTATTTTCATTGCTAGTTTCGACGAAGAAGTTCTTCACATTTGTGGATCGTTAACTCCTCCAAACACTGGAAGTGTTCAATGGCTAGAAAGGAATGCAGATTGATGATAAATTCAGGCAGGTACGAATAACCAAAACCAAACTAACATCTTCTGCTTATTACGAACACTACCTTTATTCTATGTAACTAATGTGTTGTAAATGCAACATTGCTTTTAGAATGGTCTTATGGAAACATCATTTTTACTTTTTTTATATGGGTTAGATGGGGTACATCTTGACCCTGAGTCCCGATGAAGTTAGGATTATACTGGATTTTGTTGTTCTAGAACTAGTGTTTGTCGTGTAAATACGGAGTATAATGTTTTATTTACCTAATTTTGTTACCCTCCGACTATTTCAATTTTCCCATCCAACCCCCTCAACTTCATTGTATACCTCTATCTAAAAGAGACAGAGAGGTTGTTATCATTTCCTTGAAACAAAAAGTTGATTATGTCTCCCTTTATTTTGAGTGAGAACTTTTTAATGCAGATTTTATGGTACTCAAAACACAAAATCTCCAATGAGATTCAGACATGACAAATTGCTAATTCCATTGTGCAAACCTGTAATGCAGCACTGCCACAGGGAGTTTGATGAGAGGCTAAAGTTAAAGGTACTCTTTGATTAAGCATGTGAGAATGCTTAGTAGACATGTACTAATTTTGACTGTTCCTAGTCCAACTAAAACACCCAAAAATACATAAAGGTGGAGACTATGCAGAGTCATGAAGTGACCTTTCTTTGGTGATGTGCCAATGCATCTTTCTCCTTTTAACTGTTGTATTACTCTTCCTTTGGTGGGACCTTGGAATCCTTTAGTACATTGTCATCCCCCCTCTCTATCTCCTTTGCTATTGTAATTTTATTAAATTACTCCCTCCGTTCTACTGTCTTTGTCCACTTACCTTTTGGCACACTATCCAATGCACTTATTTAATCCATTTTATCTTGTAATTTGTATATTAAAAAATTATAAAAATTATATATTAATAATTAATATGTTAAGACGAATCAAACAAGATCACACATGACTTTTTTTAGACTTACACATTGAGAGAATTTGATGAGTCAAAGTGCTTAAATGAACAGTTTCAAAAGTCAAAAGTTGACTAAGACAATGGGACGGAGGTAGTATTATGTATTTTTTATGGGTATTTTATTCTGTATTCAAATTCAGAGTACAGAGTATTTAATCTCTGTGTCCCAAAAAGAATTACACTTTTCATCATTCAAATGTCTCGGAAAACAAATGAAGAAAGTTCGAAGTATGTTTTACTTTGACTACATATATATGGTTTTACTTGGTAAAGTCATACTCCCAACTGTCTTATATATATTTTTTTATTTTCACTTTTACAGAGCTTAATTAAAAAAATTGTTGAAAAATGAAAAAAGAAGATATGGTCAGCTTTTGTTAAGAGAAGATTTTTATGGAGGGAAGTCAAACTAGTAGTTTAATTACCAATATAACCCCATTCATAACTCATAATCCATTCAGTACCCTATCATACCCCAAATCAATGGTTGACTTATTAATGACTTGTACTCCGTATATCTTTGGGGCATTGTACCTATAAAAATCTTTCTTTCTTTTGTGGTGCATGGGATGTATGAGTAGACCACATGGGGCATATATGGGAATTGCATGGCAATTAAGTACATTCATCTTATACGGAGCTTACCTTTGATTAATTAATCCTATGAAATGAAAATCTATAAAGTGGCCGGGATTCAAAATTGTTTTTACTCTCCCTTTTATATTTAACATTTTTACGTGTACAATTTTAGTGCGTAGTAACCATTATTCTGACATTTACAATGAATCTAAGTATATATACGAA